CATGCACGTGGACGACCTTTTGGGAGCCGGCTGCCCGAACAGCCCTCGATATGCTGCAGTCGTTGAACAGCTCAAAGAAAACTTCTCCTTCCGGGAGTGGAAGGAAGATCTTGATGTGATGGAGTACTGTGGTTGTGAGCTGCAGAGGTGGAAGAAAATTGCACCAAGGCAAATACTTTGACAAGGTCAAGCCCATTGCCTATGACAAGAAGCTTCCTCTCCACCAGCCGCTCAACGAGCGTGAAGTGACTCAGTTGAGGGGCCTACTTGGTTCACTGCAGTGGCCCGCAGTACAGACCTCACCACATTTACAGTGCAGCACATCGTTGATGGCCGCCCATGTCTCCCATGCCACTCTGCAGACCGTCCAGGACTGCAACAGGTTGCTGAAGTTTGCAAAAGAGAACAAAGACATCGGCCTGGTCTACAACCACCTCGGTCCCACAGAGAAGTTGCGTCTGTTGTGTTTCTTTGATGCAGGTTTTTCCACTCGCCTCGACGGGTCATCACAAGGTGGCTATGTGTTGATGATGGTCAACGAGGACCTCATGCATTCCGCCGAGGAGGGAGAATATCACATTTTGGATTGGCGCAGCTTCAAAACCCCGAGGGTGGCAAGGTCATCTTTGGGAGCTGAGGCACAAGCTGGCGGTCAAGCCAGCGACGCCGTCGACTTTGCTTGTCGATTCTGGCACCATCTCATGGAACCCCACATGCCCTTGAAGCAGTTGCTGGAGGTTCAGTCCTCCCTGAAGCCTGTGATGATCACAGATGCGAAAGCTCTCTACGACGCTTTTCATCGTGAAGGTGCAAGCTCATCCGTCGTGGACAAGCGTGTGAGCCTGGAGATTCGTGTGATGAAGGAGCGCTTGCTGGAACTTGGGGGAAACCTCAAATGGATGAGCAGCGATCGCCAGATCGCCGATGGCCTGACTAAGGAATCTGCTCGAACCTTGTTTGCAGCTCGCCTGAAGCACCAGAAGCTGAAGCTCACCTGGGATCCCACCTACAAGGCGATGAAGAAAAAGACCAAAGACGAGAAGAACACAGCGTTGGCTGAGACAACCTCCCAGGTCCATCATCAGAAGCCTGATGACTTCTCATCCCCAGGTCCGAGGAGATCATGGAAGATGACTATGCTGGCCCGGAGGAGTTTGTGAACTTTGTCCACTCCACGGACATGATTCCGTATGTCCTCGCCACAAGCCATGTCGTGAAGAGCCGCATGAAGTATGACACCAAGGGTCGCTCGAAAAATTTCATGTTTTGGATGATTTTCTTGTTTTTGCTGCAGTGCTGTCAAGCAGCACCTCCTACGTGTTTGGCGGATGAACCACCGCCACCGCCGCAGCTGAGCGATGAGCACTGGTTGGCCCTCTTTGCAGCAGCACCCTTGGCGATTGCAGTGATCGCCTTCCTGCTGGGCCGATGGTCGAAAGGTGAAAAGAAAGAGAAGGAAGAGATGGAGATTGAAGAGGAGAAGGTGACCACCGCTGACGCCTTCACTCAGAAGGATGAGCCTGTTGTCCATGCACGACTTCGGGAAGCCCTGAAGACCGAGCAGGCCAGAGTCAATGAGTACAAGCTGGCAGCTCGCGAGTCTCGCCGAGCTGTGGATTTGGCCATGACGGAGATCCTCAACCTTCGTCCGCTCGTGCAGGATGCTGCACCCATGTTCCGTCGCCTGATCACCGCGATGGATGATCACATGGACCAATGCCCGCACCGACAGCCGATCGTAGCCTCCAAGAAGAATGGCATCTGCTGGCACTTCCCCACGTGCCACTGTGCGGAGCAGATCACCGAGCCGAACTTGCTGCAACTCCGCATCTGTGCCTACTGCGGAGATCATCGCAGTCCGCTCGACTTCCCGAGTCCAAATCCCTCTGTCTCGCAGGGAAACTGCTTGAGAGAAGAGGTGACTACGTGGCTGGCTGACTATAATGTCTGCCGGTCATGGTTTTCCGACCCTGAGCACAGGTAAGAACATCGCCTGTGTGAGTTGTACGCTGTACAACATGTTTTCACTTGAAGCACACCCGTCCGCACCGCAGGGCGGGCTCATGAGTCCAAAACAGGTTTCGGCCGCAACGCGCTCGCGCGCGTTCCAATTCGTTTTGCGGTGTGTCTTGGCCCTGTCGACTTCTACTTTCTTGGCCACCTGGACCTTGACTACACACCACCCGCTACGTTGGACCTCGTTTGCCATCGATAGCTTCGCATATATATATATATATATAATCAGTTCAAGATCTTTTTTGTATGATGTTTGTGATGTTCGTTGGTCCATAGGTCTCACTTTTCCCACTTAACAATTAACCAGGGCACAGTTGGCACGGGATCGCAAGTATTCGCAAGTTGACGCATAGTTTCATCTGGAGCGGAAGAGATAGGCCCTTGCTGAAGTGACCTGCGAGGGTGTCACTGTGAGATACTGTGAGGTTTGAGGAGATAAGCAGGAGAAATAACTCTTGATCAGGAATGTTCTTAAACTTCAATAGTACTTGTTCGTTGTCCCGACGAATGGATGCCCGCGAGACTGCATCGGACGCAGTGAAATCTGTGAGCCACCCAAGGTGCGCAGTGAAGAAGTCCAATGATTTGGGAGGAAGCCTAGTTCCTTAAATCCACTGCCCAGATAAGAGAAATAAGAGAAGTAGGGAAGGAAGGAATCTTGAATTGAGGACACTGCATTCAAAACCCAGAAAATGAATGAGATGCCTTCATTCTGAATTCTTCTCCTTTTCGCATTCCCTTGCCCTCCACCTACTATATATATATATAGTTATGTTATTCTCTTTTCATTCCCTTCCCTTGCCCTGTCCATTCCCTTTCCCCTTCACATTCCCTTTTGCTGTGCGCTTTCTTATGGTTCCTTTTCTTTGATGCTAAGCGCTTATTATCGCTTATTTATCTTATTTATTTATCTTGTTTCTGTGTTACGTATATTTAAAGAACAAACCCGAAATAAATAAACAATGATAAGGCTTGTTTCAGTTTAAGTGTGTTCAGAAATGAGGATTTCCGCATCTTCATGTTTTTGGTCATGTCTTATTCGCGTACATCCATGCCCCTAAAGAGGGGGGTAGTTGGGGGGAGGGTGGTGTAAAAAAGATCTGAGTCTTTGCAACAGATCTGGTGGGAAAAATCCAGATGCCTTGCAACAAAACTCTTCTGATCTATAATGTGATATGATATGGGATTAGTATGCAAAGTAGACCTTGATAGAACGATCATTCTCTACAATCAAAAGCTTCCTGTTGGAGGTGGACCGAACCACTTCTGGTGGCAGCCAGTGATTCTAAAGACCTTCGGAACACCTTACACCTGGAGCCTGAGCTAGAGCTCTGGCTCCCGATTGGTGCTGCTGACGTTGACTTGTGCTACCTGCTACCCACTGTGGTCTTACTTATACACCATCACTATAATCCGGAATCCGGAAAGTATACTTCAAACCCACGAAAAAGAACTCTTACGCATGGTTTAATTAATTAGAGCATGAACTGTTTTGTAAGGCAGGTTGGAAGGCTGACAAATGCATGCTGTTCATCATCGACATTTCCACTCCTTCCCATGTCTCCGAGTGAGTTGAAGTTACATCGTCATCAACGTCATCCTCGACCCTCACAAGAACGATGAACATTCAGTTCACCCTTGGCCCTCTCCCCCGCTCCTGGCCTTACTACTAGGAGCAAGGATGCTACTAGGGGCTCCTGGCATCGCTACTAGGAGCAAGGACGCTACTAGGGGAAAGAGAGAAAAGGCACAAAACATCAGCAATCTTCATCCCCAGTCCCCCGACTCCTGCACCGGCGCACATCACACCGTTGGTAGAGACCAGGCGGTCTTCGCGCTCCCCTGGGTTAAACAAAGACTGCATCACAGGCAAGATTTACCCTTCCTCCAACAAACATGGAAGTGGGAAACCAACTGCTGGTAATGCTGGTAGAGAAAACATGTCTCTCCAAATGCCATTTCAATGTTCCACTTCCATGATTGTTGCAGGGAGGGTAATCTACAATCTCGAGTGGGAAGGCCTGCATCACAAGGAATCCTTCCACAACTAAATGCCAAAGCCTCTACCCTCACAAACACATTGAAATGATCAGCTTTACAGCTTGTAAAGCTCCAAGGCTTTTGGTTTTCTGGTTGTCGGAAACGGCCGACACAAAGGGTCCAAGAACCATCACATCATCACGCAGTGCTTGGGCCGCTTGGGGGTACTCGTACCAAGAATAGGCGTGCCCCATATGGTTCCCAGGGAACCGCATTCCAAAAGACACATCAACTGGTGCTGAAGTCTTCAATATGTTCAGAAGTTCACTGCTCTAAGAAGGCACCCTACAAAACTCTCTGCCTGAACAAGCCACAGCTCTGGATAAAATGAACAAACAACATAGAAGTTCATAGAAGTTCATTGTGATCCTTTGTGTTGTTCCCCCATCGTCCTCCTAAAACTGTAGTGCCATTGGTTCACTATCCAAATGACAGGTTTTGCGGTTTGCTGTTCTCGGTTCTTCCACGCCGATGCCCACTACTTTCCCCGATACCTTGCCCACGCTCATCCTCGGACTGCGATAAGCTCCTGCAGGTTTGCGTGTCGGCATTGGCAAGCGCCGCCCGGTTGACTCGCATGGAGAATTGGACACAAACACACACACACACACACCAGGGACTTCAGACCACCATGTCACCACTGGTTTCTGGAGTAAGGATCATATTTATATAATGTTTGTAATAGTTTTCGGGGCAGGGTCCCAAAACACTAATAAAAGGCACAAATGGAATCGAGACCCCACCCTTGGCCTATTTGAACGACGTCATTCTTGGATCTGCCCAACTTGTGTATTCTAGGAGCCGCCGAAGATAATCTCCTCATCAAAGATCATGTGTCCAACCACAGCTCAAAGGAAGCTTGAGGCTGCTGCTCAAAAAAAGTGAACATGGACAACGCCTTCCCCTCTGCTACCAAAGCATGTCCACTTCCATGTTTGTTTTTGTCAGTGTGAGAAAAGGCTCCTTTTTGCTTTTACAGAACAGTTGTTGCGATGGTAACGCCAATCTTCTCGTTGACAGGACTTGGAGCAATATGAGGCTGCCGAACAACCACTGCAGCGGGCACAAGCATTGGGTGCACCACATCGTTGGCAAAGTGGCACTGGGCTCGGCGGCAAGGCGGGGAGGGGTTGCCATCCGGCTGGATCCTCAAACCAAGTCGACCAGGCTCGCATGTATTGGTGAAAAAGATCTGGCACATCATCTGGCGCTTCCGGCAGCACTACATGTAGAAGCTCCAGATCAAAGAGTTTCTCCCCACCCTGAGGCGAAACCACAGCCACCAAGGACCGTTCTCCGTGAAGCATCGAGCGCAAGATCTCTTCCATGAACCCCAAGCTCGTATCAGCTCCCAGATGGAAGACCTCCGGTGCCGAGGCGCGTGAGCTGCTAACGCAGTGCCAGCTTCCAGCGCCACTCCTGACATAGTGTTCCAAGTGGCACACGGCGTTGCACCTCCGGGCAGACCGCGCCGCCGTCGCACCGGAGCCAGGTCGCCAGATCCGCTTTCGGACCGCCTGGGGTTCCGTGGACAGCAAGTCCGTGGTGATCCGCAGCACCTCGTCCGTCATGGATGGCAACGGTGGCAGCGCTTCCACCTGGCCCAAGGGAGCGGCCAAACACAGCGAGGCTGACAAGCAGCGGGTCGCGTACCACCAGCCGGGCGGGACCCAAAGTGCTTCGCCAGCAGCGAGCACTGAAGAAAAGGCTTCCAAACCATCATCTTCCCAAGGTGAGTAGATACACTGATCTGGTCCCAGGAGGCTTGAGTTCACTACAGCATTGCTCGGCAGCAGAACCACCTGACGTTCTAAGAAATCAGGTGTTCAAAAAGTGATTCTGCCAGCACTCGTTTCTCCACGCTCCTCGCTAAAAACAGGTTATTGTGTTGAAGCAAATGCGTCGAACCGTCGTTGCAGGTCATCAAATTGTCAAATTGATAAATTTCTGCTTGTAGGAACTTCCAAATCGAGGTGACTGGAACAACAGCAGCTCTGTTTCCGGGTCCTTTCAGACATGTCAAACCAATTGAAACCAGGTGTTTTCACATGTTCTCACACCGTCCTCACCTGCTGCTTGCCTTCCAATTGCCACAGCAGCCAGCCCGAGTCCCCAGCCCTGGGACGATGCATCTGCAGCTCGGCATTGGGTGGCGCCAGGTTTAAGGTGCAGGTGTCGAGTGCCAGGAGCGAGCCAAGTGACGGAGCGGGAGAGGTGACCCCGCCGCTTTTCCCCATCACATCCATCCATGGCATGCCAAAGACTTGCCAACATCGCCGAGGACCTAGCTTGTGTTTGCACATGGAAACAGGCCAGTTTTTGACCACAGTGAAAAACAGCACACTCCCACTCCAAAAAGCCTACACATGAACGGGGTGACATTCTTGGATATTCTTGGTTAGCTATCAAATGCTATCACAAATGTACATTCTCATTGACAAACACCCGAATAACTCAGAGAGCACCTGAACAGTGGTGATTGACCAACTCGGATCTTTTTGGCGGAAGATCCAACTGCTTTGACTTGAAGCTGGTCCCCTCAGAAAAAAGAAAGTCTCCAAAAGAATTCATTCCAAATCGTTTCCAATCCTGTCAAATCGACTCATCTGCTGCAGCGCCCCATGCTGTGCGGGCGGACTTCCCGCGACATACCGTGCCATCTCCCAGAGCCGCGCCCGGCTCCGCCGGCTCCAGGGCCGTTCGCCGGGCGGCGCGGCAGCGGCGCAGGGCGGTGCCCGGTCCCAGATCTCCACCAGCTGGTCGCCCGACTCGGAGAGATCGTCTAAGGATGGAAGACTGCCTGAGGAATTGGTTGAGCCATCTGCAATGCTACATGTTTCTAGTAGCTTCTTGTTCCTAGTAGTACGGCCAGGAGCCCCTAGTAGCGTCCTTGCTCCTATTTGGCAGTGACATTTGTTTCTTTGAGATCGAAAGATATTGTCGGCTGACGGGTGAACAATTGTGAAAACCTTTGGTGAGATATGGATGATGTTTGATGACCATGAGTCAATCCCATACTGCATGTCTCTAGTGTGCGTATCACTGGAGTTTTTCACACAAACTCCGAGAACACACCCCTGGTGCATCAGAAACACAAGCACCTCCACCAAATCGCCCTCAAGCTGACCGTCCCCAAAGGACTGTCTATCAGAATTCATCGACTTCTAGGCCTGAACATACATCATTTGGCTACATTTGGCTATGAACCAGATTGTTGCCAGTGGGCTACTGGCGCGACCAATGGCTTAAGAAGTGCCAAACAGATTCTGTATGATATGTGCCCCAGTACTTGCCCCAGTCATACCCATGCATCTCTGGTGTTTCACTTCTTAAACAGTTGCCCCACCCTGGCCTCCATCCTTGGGCAGCTCGGTGCGCAAAAGTGCTGGCTCGGATTGCTTCACCCACCGTTCCAGGAATCGCACCCGCTTCTCGGATGGCCAGGTCCGCCTCTCAGGCTGTGGCCAGCCCCATGGGTGGACCGCCGATCCACATAGGTCCTGGATGTGGCGGCAGCAACGTAGTTTATCCTTCCACAGGATTGATGTTGTTCGACACAGACATACACCCTGGACAAAAGCTTCATTGACCTTCGATAGCGTTGCTATAGAGGCTCCAGTTCCCTCTTTCCATACCACCGAATTCTGATTCAGAAGATAATTGCAACATCAACCCTGGTCCTTCATCCCTGCGGCATGGAATGCAAAGCGTGCATGTCGCGGATTGTTTGTCTGCGTGCCACTTGCATCTAAGACACGTATGTGCTCTGTCTCTCGCACACGTGGAGCGCCTTGCCAGCTAAACCAAGGTTCTCTGGGCGGTTCCACTTGTACCATCTTCTTGCCACCCACCACTGTCGGATGAAACTCACCCCAACGGGCCAAACAGGCACATAAGGCACTTTGATCCCAAAACTCGCCCTGGTGGAAGGAAGAATCACCAGAACTCCAAACCTTGTCCCAAAGGCTTTGCATCCAGGAGGAGCCAACTTTGCACATCATCAGGCCTGTATTCAGCCAGTCCAGGTCTGCCATGTCCTCGCCCAGCACAAGATCCTTGTTGCCAGACAGGAACTTTGAGAGAGGCCATTCATGGTTCAGCACCATCAAATCCGCATCAAACCAAACGAGCCAATCTGCCGAAAGGAGCTGCAAGCAGTCTTCCTCGCTGATCTTGCTCTCCAACAGATTCGTCTCATCTGTCTCATTCCTCCTTTTCTTCTTCCCAAAGAGCCATCGAAGCAGGGCCACCTTGCCCCAAGCAAAGTGTCGACCCTCGCATAACAACTTCATCTCGGCATCCGTAAGCCTCAGCGTGAACATCCGGTAGCCATGCCGCTGGCAGTAAGCTTCATTGATCTTGGCACAGAAGGATCCCACCTCATAGCTCTCATTGAAGAGAGCCACAGCCGAAATCCGGCTCATCGGTTGAAGGGCCGAAAAAGCAACATTTGTTGAAACAAGGAGTCGAACATAAGTGCTCAGGGCGCCCTGCGCAGGGCTGCACTGCCAAGCTTGAGCCATCAAGTAAAGCCGGCCGAACAAAGAAAACAGTGGTCGATTGGGTGGTCAAATTTGGCAGCTTGAAAGCGTGCTCAACGAGGTGAACACCAGTATGCAGTATGCATCATCTGCACTGATTGGCCACCAGTATGCAAAGCAATGACACTGGCAGTTTTCCTGCTTAAGTGTTGCTTTGGACTCTGGACGATTGTCAATCACACAGAAACCCTCAGACACCTTACGTCACACCGTACCACAAACAGGACCTTGGAAAGGATTGGGCAAGGTCCCACCTTTGCCACACTTCAAACAACGCCATGGATCACCACTCAAATATCCAAATGGCTCATGAACAAATTGCGCCTTTCTTTGAATCCAGTAGGTCAGTATGGTCAGTTCACTCCAACCAGCTGATTGCATGGTTCACCCCTGGAAAATCACTCGATTTCGAAAGTAGCATGGACGAATGGGCCTTGGAGTGCAGGCCTCTACTGTCGCAAGGGACTACAATGACCATATGACTTTATGAAAATGGATCTGACTTTCGCTGAGCGACCCTCAAAATTACAGTCAGTCAGAAATTGGGTCGTTTCTACTGAGCTTCGTTTTTTTTCCAGCTTCGTTTTCCAAGGAATTGCACCAGTTTGGCTATATAATTACTATTCTCTGCTTGTTCACCAGCTGAGTCGTGAGATTACCACTGGACCGTTGCAATGTGAAGTAGAGCAAAGGAACTTCTTGAAAAACCCTACCAGTGCAGCAAAGGAACTTCTTACAGGGCATTTGGCCAGGGTCTACAAACGACACTTTTGAATGGATTTTGGCTTTTCGTGGAATCTCAGATTCTGGATTTTGGATCGATCGTTTCTCTCAATCACCACCAGCGACAGGTTCACCTCCTCATCGCTCCATCCTTGTAGTCTGGCCCTGAGACGGAATTTGGACCAGAAGGAACGAAGTCTCGGTGAAGAAGAAAAAGGAAGATCCAAAGGAAGTCACGTTGGAACTTTGAAAATGCCAACTGTTTGTCTACTCCACGATTTTTGAGAGGTTGGCCTCATGAGAGTCAGAGATTGCTGAAGGGTCCCAGAAAGATATATCGGAGGCTGTTTCTTAGCTTACATTTGAAGCACTGAATATTTCTTGTTAGGGACTTTTGTTTTGGGAGGTACGCTGTTTCTTGGAAAGACTCTTTCGACTCTTGACATATCTTCCAAATGGGGGAATCTTAGCCCCACTCAGCCAATTGGAGCATGGTTGAGGTCCAACTACATAGCTCATACAACTGATTTAGTTATGCACGAGGAGGGGCAAATTGTTGACAAGTCTGCCCACCAAGGGCAGCTCCAGGGAATCACAGAATGCTAGGACCAGGAAAGAAGGCGCTCTTGCTGAGTATCGCTTGAATTGTGACGATTCTTGGAACATAACATGTTTAATCATGTTTAATCATGAATCATGTTTATCTATTATCATCTAGTATCCAAAAAAGAATGAAACAGCAACATCTGCATACAAACTGCAAGGTACACAAGACTTGTTGTCAAAACATGTGCTGTCGACTTCTTCCATTTCAAGGTATCATGGAGGGGGACCCTGTGGCACTACCACCGGTCCTCTTTTCAGAGGTCTAAGATGCTTGAAACCACGACGATGTGTGCGTCATGCCAGTGTCTTGCAGTCCAGCTTGATGTAACATACTGCATCGATAATGGTGTGTCTCCATCACTTGCAGCTCACTGATTGAAATGGAACAGTTCGTGTGACGTACGAGTACTTTAAACACACACACACACACATGCAAGCTGACTGCTGCAGCATGAAAGATAACAGACTCCACAACTTCAGGTGTCGAGCGTTCTTAGCTCATACGTCCCTGAGGTCCAGGAGTGCACAGGGGTCCTGGTGACCCACTTGTAGAGAATTAAACCAAAGAGGATGCGTCAACGTGAGGAGCAAGCCATGGGAAAGCGGGGAAACCCTGACCCGATCCAAAGGAAGTGAAACTCTTTCCCCTCTGTCTTTGGAAAGCCCCCCTGCTTGGCTCGATACACCCAGAGGAACCGCTAACCAGTGGAGGGCGGGGATATGAGGTATGACATAGCATGACTTGACGACCATTCTTACTTCAAATTGCAAGATAGCATGCAAAGACACGAGCGCACAATTCAGGAATGGCTGTGTAGTTGCAATACTGTGTAACATATACCAAAAGACACCTACAAAACACTCATTTCAGGAAAACTCCAAGCATGTCGCATCATGATTCTTTTTTTTAACTCTAAGTTCTCGACTCACCCTCAGTTCAAGACATCCTGTTTTCTCCGTGGCCCTCCTCGGGCCACCTCCGATGGCCGCACCGCGGGCGCGGTGCTGGGCCGGGAGGCGCGGGAGTGCCAGGGCGGTGCCGGTGCCGGCTTCAGGCCCTCCCGGTGTAAATAGTCCGCCATCCACCTGGCAGATGATTGAAAGTGTGGAGTTCAGGTCGTGTTTTGCAGTGCGCGTTTTTCCTTTCAAGCGGGTGGGCCACTGACTGGTTGAAGAACTTGTGCCGGTTGATGTCTTTTGTTCGTACAAGTACAACTCAGCTGGAGATCGGGAGAATTGCACTGTTTGATACTTTTTACATCTGTTTCTTGCAATCCTGTAATCACCACCTCGTCCCAATCCTCTCAGACGTCGACAAGCTCCCGAAGTGGTTGCTCCGGCCCACCGAGTCAGCATCAGGATACAAACATGAGATCTACTGATACTGCTTCTGTAGGTCAGAACCTCACGTCTTGTCTTCCCGCGGTTTTTTGATTTGAGCAAATTAACGGCAAACTACAACTAAACAGTGACTATCAGTGAGGTGTCTCCAAATAAGTGTGACCAGTGTGACCGGAGCTGTGGATCTCCACGATCCGATTCGAGCTCGTACAAACTTGTAGAAACCTTCTGCATGAACTACAGTGCACACACGCATTGTGCACACTTACTTCGTTGAGACTCCGAACCGGTCGGATGCCGTTTTCGGACGGTCCGCGCGGCTCCGATCCTCCGGAGGCGTCGGTGCCTGTCAAACTTCGCCACCGACTTGCGTAAGCGCCTCCGAGCTCGCGGATGGAACGCATCGATTCTCGGGAAGAACGGTGTGTTGATCCAGTACAACGGTGTGGGGTGGAAAAGGAACAAAGGAACTTGACCCAATGACAAAGGAACTTCATGATGACTGGCCAGTTCTCGATTGTGACAACTTCATGGTTGGGTTTTTCTTCAAAGCCATGATGAGGTGGACTGGCCTGGCCCTGCCTTGGTACACCGGATCTCAGGATGAGTAAATTCACTCGGCCGGTGGAGTAGGTGACAGACTCATCTTGCAGTGAAAGCTGAAAGGGTGAAAGCTGAAAGGACTCGCCTATATTTAATGAACCCTCTGCCCACAAACATGGTGGTTGCAGAATGGTTTCAGGCACATAGTCTTTAAATGTGTTCACTACTCTTTGCTTGAGGGTACGTCGAAACTCTTCCTGCCAAATCAGGCTCCATGGACCGGAAGGGTTCTCTCAACAAACAGCTGGGAAGAATTGCTTAGAAAGTAAGTTTCTGTTCTCAAGAGGGGAAAAAAATGAAGCTGCTGCGAGACGGGCGTGTCAATTGTGCGTTGAGCATCTGTGGCCGTCTGTGGCATTTGAGACTGTGAGAGGGGATATGTTAGGCAGAACGCATGGAAGGCCACATCTTAATGCAGTAATTGTAAAATACTTAAAGTATCTCAATGAAAAAATAAATCTCCAAGGAAAAGAAACATGTGCGACAGTGTGTGACAAAGGGAAAGCCGATGACTTCACCCACTTCGCTGCATCAAATTCAAATCTAATCCAAGGGATCCCTCCCAGCACATATATAATGTCACCTTGGCTGCAGGCTCCGCCGCTCCCGCTCTCGCCTCCGCTGAAGTCGCTTCTCCCGGTGCTGCGTTTCAAGCTCTTCGACGTCGGTGGAGTCAGAGGACTCCTCGAGGCCGGTGAGGGTCGGATTTCCTAAGAGCAAGGACGCTACTAGGGGCTCCTGGCATCGCTACTAGGAGCAACTGCTTACTAGCAACTGGAAGCTACTAAGTGGAGGCCTTCGCTATTAGGTTGGGGGCCATCGCTTCTAGTAACAAGAAGCACAATGTTCACATATCCGAAATCATGGTCACATCAAGGGGTTTTGCTGCCAAAGCAAGAGTGGCAGTTTGCCCCTCGTGTCAGTGATCATCCCCTCATGCAAGAGACTGATCGATGTGTCCAATGGACAACTTATGTGCGACTAAATATGATGAGCCGAGTGCCACTTCACTAAAACCCGGTCTGTGTTTGACTTTGAGAAAATGTGTCAGATTGGAAGGATACAACTTAATGTTTTATCAATAAGGACAAAATCTGCCCCTCTTGCAGTTACGTTGGCAGGAAGCATCCCTTCAGGTGGTTGTCATACTGCATGCTTTGGCGCAAAAAAGATCAGCAAACTCGCACATCGCCGCGCTCCTCCACTTCTGGAAGCGTCTGCGGAGTTGTGGCAGACCTTAATTTCTTTTTGATGCCGTACCTCAGCCGAGCCGCAGATTGATGCTTTCTCCACACTTGAGCAAAGTAATCGAGTACCTATTTAAAAACGGACCCCTATTAGAAAAAAATCACCGTGTCAATTCTGGGTAGGGTCCTGCCACAGATTTTATAGCTATAAAATGGTGAAGCCCACCAGCAAAGGGACATAATTTGGTGTGACCCACCAAAGCTGAAATCCTATATTTTCATTAGACCACTTAAATAATCTGTTTTTATATAACATGTTATCGATGTTAAATGACTTAATAACAAATTATAAATGTATGTGAACTAGTTATAACAAGTTATAAGTAGTGTTTAAGTAGGGTTTAAACAATTATAACTTGTTAAATTAAGTAGATGTTTTAGTAAAAATTGTCAACGTTTAGCTAACCATGTTAAGTCAATGTTAATTTTTAACTTGAGTTAGGCAGAGTTAGTAAAAATCAAATAACATATAAGTATTGAACAATCATCTTCCACATTGTAAGTTTTTTGTTTTAGAAAATTAAAAAAGTTCTATTCTAATGTGAACTTTTCAATAAACCACCATAAGAATAATCAGCCAGCATGGCATTCAATTTTGTAAAAACATCACGTGCAGTTACTTTGCCCAAGGGTGAACATGAAGGTTGACATCCAAACAACCATAACCATTAGCTGCAACGATTGCAAAGCAATCCCAGTGCCTGCCCTTCCTCCAATTCCCTTCCCCCAGTTCCCTTCCCACAGTTCCCTTCCTCCAGTTCCCTTCCCACAGTTCCCTTCCTCCAATT